CGATGTAGCAGTGAAATCTAACCGTGCACTGCAGGTACACAACCCAACAAGCACTTGTACTGCACTGCAAGAGGAAGTACTAAAGCATGGTGTCATAGCAGTGTCACTGTATAGCAACGTGTAGATGCGACCAAGGTTGACTTTTGCAACGGGTCCCATTATAGTCTTTCTTGCCTTCCCACCATATATTGCTCCTGTAACTTTGGACCTTATTTGTGCTCTCTCTTGTGTGTCGTTATCAGCAACTGAGAAGACCTCATTGGCTGTATGAAAGAGAGAGTGTACAGCTGGCTTTGAGCTATCTTTGCATGTCCTTGATTGTACTTCGTACTGTTCTGCAGTAGTCAGCTGAGGGGCAGGTGACCAAGGTGGCATCCTTGGAGGCTGGGTTAGGGTGCACAAAGATAGCCATTGTTTCAGCTGGAATCTGGCCCTGCAGCTGCTGCCAGCAGCATGGCACCTAGCACAGCTCTGTGTGCTGCCACTGTCCAGGGCGCAGAGCTGCCATGTCATGCTCTGCTTCTCTGGTCCCTGAAAAGTTTTACAGCAAGCTAAAATCCTATCCAATGTCATTGGCTCTACAGGGGCTTTTTAAAGCAGCCAGGGATTCCCAGGGCAGAGGATCAGTCCTACCTCCCACCTATTTTTACTATCCACTTCCACTGCTCTAGTCATAGGAGGGTGGACCAGCTGTATCCATCAATCAGTGGAAGATCCTGATTCATTCACATGAATCAGAGTCAAAACAGTTTGGGGTTAATAAAATAAAATTTAAGGCAGACTAAAGCTGCCTTAATACCTATGCATCTCACAAACGAGTGCCTAAAAGTGTGTTGCAACGTTGAACTGACCTTACATGCAGGGAATGAAAAAGCTGTTGATTCAGGAAACATAAGCACTGAAGAAGTCCTTCTTGCACTGCAAATAACTTCAGATACCCCGTCCTTCTTCCCTCTTTATGATATAAATATTTTTCAACAATAGAAATAAAGGAACATTTCAGTTGTGTGGATTGTATGTAATTGCAGGCCTAACATGAGTAGCCTTCCTTCAGGTGACTACTGTTTAATATGTATTTAATGCAGGAAAGGATCAGTTCTTTCTATTTTCAGAGCACTAACTAAATCCAATGGCCTCTATCTATCTCCCTGGGGCATCTTTAATTGCTCTCCTCTTTATAGCTTCTTATTTGTACTAATAACAAGACTTAGTTTTGTCTCTTAAAACTCAAGTGCCATTAATGATCAAAGGTTTATTGCTAATTCCAAATGGGAATTTAGCAGATATTTTCAGCTGTATTTTGTGTGATTCATTTCTCTGCCTTTCATACTGAAAACAAGATCTTTACAGGAATCAGTCTCAAGCTGCATATTCCTAGTAAATGCTGACTTCTGTTTTTTATTCTTATCTTATCTTCCACCAAGAGGCACTATTATTGTTACTAATACCTAGCCCTTAACAGAAAGCAATGAAGTCCTGCAGACTTACATCCTCAGAGGGTTTGTTCCATAAACTCCAGTGTGTTAATGTTTCCAAAGCATGTTGAAAATATAGTCCTGCTGTTTTTACAGAATGATGGATAAAGCCAATTTGAAATTGGGGGATGGGAAATACAAGACTTCTTCCATATGCCATTTACAACTTTGTTTTTGGGGGGTTTTTTACCCAGTAAATGAGAAGAGTGGTGATTCCTCAAAATTCTTGAGTAATGTCAGAAGTATTACTAACAACCATATATTAAAGTGTTGTTGTGGTTCCCCCGCCATTCCTGCGTATGGAGAGTTGGGGCTATCTTTAAAACGAAATTTGACAACTTAAAGGCTTGTCTATGGCGGCTAGTGAAGCGACCAAAACGCTGGCTTGCATCCATAGATGTTCTCAAGCAAATCCCGGGACGTCATTCTCCCCCTGTACTCGGCCTTAGTGAGGCCGCAGGTGGAGTACTGTGTCCAGTTTTGGGCTCCACAATTCAAAAAGGATGTGGAGAAGCTTGAGAGAGTCCAGAGAAGAGCCACACGCATGATCAGAGGTCAGGGAAACAGACCCTACGATGACAGGCTGAGAGCCCTGGGGCTCTTTAGCCTGAAAAAGCGCAGGCTCAGGGGTGATCTGATGGCCACCTACAAGTTTATCAGGGGTGACCACCAGCATCTGGGGGAACGTTTGTTCACCAGAGCGCCCCAAGGGATGACGAGGTCGAATGGTCACAAACTACTTCAAGATCGTTTCAGGCTGGACATAAGGAAGAATTTCTTTACTGTCCGAGCCCCCAAGGTCTGGAACAGCCTGCCACCAGAGGTGGTTCAAGCGCCTTCATTGAACACCTTCAAGATGAAACTGGATGCTTATCTTGCTGGGATCCTATGACCCCAGCTGACTTCCTGCCCTTTGGGCGGGGGGCTGGACTCGATGATCTTCCGAGGTCCCTTCCAGCCCTGATGTCTATGAAATCTATGAAACACTAAAGATACCTGTTTGACTGGCCTGATGAAGACAATACAAAAGATTGAAATGAGGCAGTGTTGTTCAGTATTGTGAGGCAAAAACCAGGAACTGAACTGTATTTCTGACTCACTGTGTGATTACATTTCCTAATAAGTTCTAATAACACTTATTATAAGTATTACATCATTCGGCTATGGGTTTTTTCTGTAAGAAAGGTTTTTACTGTCCTACTAGTGCTGGGGAAGTAGGTAAAAGGTTGCTTGTAACGAAAAAATCAAACTTCTGCAGGACGGAGGGTGGCTTAGATATTTGCTACTTTGTGATATAACACAGACCCTGAAGGAGTGCTATTTTTGTACTGATTAGTGACCTACTGTGAACTATACTCTATGATCAGTTGGATAGCTAGCTAGTAGGATTCTGATGCATCACAGAAGTGAAATCTACCTAACTGAAACAAGGAAGTGAGTTTGAAGGCTAGAATTAGGGGCTTACAAGTAGCAATTGTCAATCTAAACAAGTGACTTTAGGGAGAAAAGGTTTCTTTGTTAATGATTCCACACTGATCCTCATCATTCCACTTAGTTACAAAAAGTCCCAATACAAAATTGGGTCCTTCCAAGGGATCAGAAAATATGGTTTGATATTCCTGATAGTTAAAAGGACAAAATAAAACCAGTACCATTGAGGCTTTCCTTATGTATTATGATGAAATAAAAGATTTCAAAACCCTTGTTTCATGATTATTTTCCTTTGTAAGCTACCTAGAAAGAGGAAATATGGTTTAGCATTTTAGCAAATAATCAAGAGGAGTCAGCCTGGTGAAAACTGGTCTACAGCAGATTTACAGTCTGGTTAATTTGATCTTTATTGCCTGTGTTTGCTTTGCATTTTCAGGCAGAACTGTGTTTTCCGAATTGTAACTTACATCATGCTGCTGAGATCGGATAGCAGGTTTTTATTCTATTTTTAACTTTTTCAACTTAAACACTTCAAAGACCTCTACTGATTAGCCTTCAGTCTTTAATTATCTTTGTAACTCAGATTTTCTTTTAATCTAACCCCTTGTATAGGGTGTTTTTATTGGAATATACACTCACTTGTGTGTGTATATTCTCATCCCATCTCATACAACCAAATGTTGATTGTATATTCTGAACATCTAAACTATAAGGCCCTTATCCTGCAAAAACACGCTTAATTTTAAGCCTACAGATATTCCCATTCAGGTCAATGAGCCCCAGCCCTGTGAGTACACATGCAACTAATCCCACTTAGGCCTACATGTAAGTGATTTGGGGTTAAATTTAAAATAAGATTACAGCCTTAATCAGGAGTGTCAAACTGGGCTGTTCCCCCAATCTGGATTCAGAAATGGTGGCAGCAGCAGACAAGCAGTAGCAGCATGGAGGTTAACAGGCCATCACTTCCCTCTCT